ATGTGTCTTAACTTGATAACTCTTTACTTCTTTGAACTTCTGAGCTGAGTTTAACATATGGTGAAGGTCCAAGGACAGTTTAAGTTCTAACACCTAGTGAAAAGAGGCAATCAGGCAGTTACACAGTCCTGGTTAGGTTCTTAGTGCTCCAGCTTTTTTTTTAAGAGGTCTGTTTTTGGCCAGACTTTACACCTACTTAGCTAGATCATTAGATCATTCAAGGAAGGAACACTAATCCGTGGAAACTTGGCAACTTTACTGCCCCTTCTCACTTGACCATTTTAAAAAATATTGATCAACACCTTTTAACTGCTGCCTTTCATATCCCAAGTATAGACACAGCACAACAGATTGGGAGTTATTTTCAGACACTGTAAGCTCAATTCAATTGCCTGAACATAGACACAAGCCCACTGCCCAGGAGACTTTGTGATGTGGCTCCCTGCCCAAAGTGTCAGGAAAGGTGCAGAGAGACAGCATGGAGACAGATCCTTCCTTGCAAATGTAAAGGGAAAGTACAACAGCTCTGGCTAAGCCACTCCACACGAACTTCTCAGGAAGTGACTCTGTTGAAGAGGGAGAAGAAAACTAAGATGGCCTGGGCACTGTCTACTCAGAACTAGACTTGTAGAGGTCAGCACAGCCATGACTCCTACAGAAGTCCATAGCATGAGAAGTCTGTTGGACACACCTAAATTCTGGTGCAATGCCAAGGGTTTTCTGCCATTAAGGATGACAGGAGAGCCAGTTGCAACTGCAGAGCCTTGAAAACCTTTGCACAGACCTCAGCCAAACTAGGTGGTGATTTTCTCAAGTAAATGTTTCTCTAAAAAGGATTTACAGCATTCAGACTCTCCATAGGACCTGACTTGGGCCACGGAACTTGGATCCAGTGTCAGCTAGGAGCCTCACCTTGTCTTCAGAAGAACTTTTCTGGGATAAATCCATCCTGTAAGGGTAATCAAGGGACCTCAATCACCTGCAGACAGCGGCACAGCAGTGTTGGTAGCACTAAGAACCAACCAGGGTGACAATCCCATACAGCAGACCACCACCAGCCTCTTTCCCACCTCCTTCAGGGAGGAATTGGAAGATGCCCTGAGAAAAACCTATGCACAACCAGGTAGGAAGTTTGGGKTTTTTTCCCCAATATTATATTTACTAAGAGGGATGTCTGAGAATGATCTCTTGTTTGTCACAAAAAGATATACCCTTGTCTTACGTACATTTATGGTTTAATGATCAGCTTGTGGTTTTCTTGGRTGGACATCAATGGGGTATAATGAGAGAGCAAGATAAGGCCTGCAAGGGCAGTTGACTTGATAGATGGTGAGAATGCTGGGAAAACAAGACCGTAATAATAGTAATAATGATAATAAACTCCTTTGCAGCCCCTCTTCTTTGTTAAAGGCAAAATGTGTGACCTTTCTCCTAGAAGTGTTTTACCAGCTCTCATGGACTACTCAGTGGTATGGGGAGAGCTCAGCCTCTCAGACATCAGGACATCTGTCTGAAATACTAAGTAACAAACACACCAAAGAAAGACACAGGACAAAAAGATCTTAAGCTTGTAGTAAGATTTCCTTTTATTGTAAGGAAAAGCTCAGCTTCATCTCCTGTTTCTGAGTGTCACACTCCTAGAAACGGGCTGGATATTAGATCTGTACGTCACATGGACAACATAAGGAAACAGGAATATGTCACAAAAAGGACCCAGGATCTCTAAACTACTGCAAAACGTACATGCAACAAGTAATCAACAAGTCTGACAGAATGCTAATGTTTAATTAGCACCAAACACTTATACTCTTGGTAACTATTTTGCAAAATTCCTCTACTCAAGTGGGTCATAAAACAGGGCAAGGGAAAAATCCCATATTTGCTTTGGCTTTGGGAGACTTGGCATTTGGGGGAAGGGTACCCCGGCAGTCTTTTTAATTGAAGTTGCCAAAAATGAACTAAGAAATGTGTCTTCATAACAAAGAAGTGAWTATATAATAAGGGCAGTAACCTAGGTTGTAACACTAGTAGCTTTACTGCTATCCTATACGCATTGCTGCCTGAAACCAAGGAGCCCTTTGGACTTTRAGGATCCTTCTAGTACACTTCACACCATTTTGTTTATAGCAACCTTTCTTTATAATTTCTTATCTATTTTCCCCACACCTTCAGTGTACAAAAAGCTTCAGTCAAGTGCATTACAACCATCTCCATGAACTATGCAAGCTACAAACCGCAAAGTGGGTAGAAGTTATGGACAAAAATGCTTGGGGGAAAAACCCAAACAGGTTTATAGTTAAACACTGTAGCACTGCAAAGCTAGGCAAGCTCAGAAACAGGTCTCACTAAGCAGTACTAGATAGGYCTCTTATCATATACATTAGGAGGAGGTCATCAAGGTCTCTATGTTGCTGAGGAAATAAGGCACRTGGGTATGCCAGTATAGGCATGTGTGTGAATTTGTGTTTTTGGTAGTGGTGTTCTTGTTTTTTTCTGCATTTCTCTGTCATCTCCAGGCAACCTCACAACATGTAGCTAACGAGGCTTGCAAAACAATTTATAATCCCCTGTTTCCTGCCTCCAGAGAGCTGCCTGACGGGCTGTGCCCGCAGCACTCGGGCTGCTAAATGAAAACACTTCTCGGGGCTGTTCGCAGAGAGGTTTTTCCCCCTACACTGCCCTCATTTCCTATGTGTCTTCACTTACGTCTGCCTTGCAGCAGAGGAGCGGGGCCCGCGGTGTGGGGCCCAGGCCGGGCGCGGGCCGGCCGGCCCCGGAGGGCTGTACCCGGCCGGCCCGTCCCCGGCCAGCGCCGCAGAGGCCGCCCCACTCGCGTGGCTCCGGGCGGGCATGGCGGCGCTGCGGGCCCGCACCGTGCTGCTCACCGGCTCCAACCGCGGCCTGGGGCTGGAGCTGGTGAGGCAGCTGCTCGGCGGCCCTCGGCCCCCGGCCTGGATCTTCGCGACGTGCCGGGACCCCGAGGGGCCGCGGGCGCAGGTCAGTGCGCGGCTGCCCCTGCCGCCCGCTCCCGCGGAGGCGAGCGGCCGCCCCGGGCCCGCGGGCAGCTCCGTGGTCGCGGCTGCGGGGCAGACCCAGCCGCAGGTCGCGCTCGGTGGCATTGAGGCCCTRCGCGTTCAGGCACAGATTATCACGCGGCTGCAGGTCGCTCGTGAGCGGGAGCAGCTGAAGGACTTGGCCGCCCGGGCCTGGGCGGCAGGCGCAGGGCGCTGCGCTGCCCTGGGGCTAGGCTGGGTGCTGCCTCTCCCCGGCACCGGGGAGGGGACCGGCAGCCACCCCGCTGGGCAGCCCGGGGCTGCTCCGAGCTCCTCCGCTGCACCCAGCCGTTGCAGCGAGCGCTGCCGGCGGCGGCCCTGCCTCTGAGCGCGGGCAGCTGGCGTTGGGAATGTGCTCAGAGAAGTTAGACAAAAAGAAAAGTCGTGCTTTGAGTTTCATGCCACTCRTGCTTGCACCAAGTGCTGTCTGTAGTGCGTGTTTGGTATGAAAGCCCTTTTGAGAAACCTCTTATGAAGCTGGCAGAGGTGAGAGAAGCGTTWCTAAATCCCTGTTATTGAGCTCCCCCGATGAGCTAGCTGAGGTTACGCAGGCCATGCTGCAACCCACCCTCTTCCTCTCCCCCCGTCTCGGGGCCGTTGCTGCGGCTTGCGCGAGGCAGGCTTTGCGGAGGGGCCGTGATGCACCGAATCGCAGCTTGGCCACGGGCAAGGGCTGGTGTAGGGTGTGTGAGCAGCACGGCTTGGGGAGCCCTGCGGAGACCCCTCCTTTCTTGCCCTGTTCTTCCCCGCTAAGTGCTGAGCTTGGGTAGTTACTGATGGGATCAAAGAGCTTGTCTGCATGGCTGGACTGGAGCCAATTTCTTCAAGAGGGTCGCTGCTCTCAGGCACAGGATGTTTCTTTAAGCCTTGTTCAGCTGAGCAGCCTTTTCCAGGTGCTGCTGAAGTCAAGGACCGTGGGGGACAGAGTAGGGTGACCTGTAGCGAAGGCAGAGCCAACTTCACTCCTGCCCCTTCATGGCTGGGTCAGATATTTAGGGGTGAGTTGGGCTATACTTACCCTCGGGAGATGTGAGGTTCCCAATGCCAGCAGCTGGACAAAACACATCATGAGAGGAAAAATGAATTTTGATCACTGCAAGCCCTTTAGAAGTATTTTCCATGGCTTCCTGAGTCCAGAGGGAATGTGGGAATGCAGGGGCTGATGGTGAAGCACAGAGCTCCAGGGGAAAACTGAACTTGGAACCAGACCCGTGACACTCCCACTCTACACTGATAGGATGAGCGCAAGGGATTGCAGCAGCTCATGAGAYATCACTGATTTTCATTTCCTGTTAGAGATTTTTAATTAGCTGTAAAAGATAATCATTTGGCCACATTGAATATGGTGGTTTGTTTTCCAACACATAAAACTTGCCGTAGTAGAAGAAAGCAAAGTTAAAAACTGCAAAGCTGAAAGTTTCCTTTTGGCTTTTATCCTTTATAAAAAGTTTTTCTGAACTCTTTATCCCTGGGCAAAAGCAATCAATGAAAAATTGGCTAAGTGCTTCATTTCACTTCACTGGCCAAGATGTAGTGTACAGAGCAGGGTGGGACCTGAGATTGTGCTGTTGGTTCCACCTAAGCATTCCCCAGCCTTCGAGGCTGACAAGGCACATAGGACAGTGCTCCAATGCTCCTTGGTCAGTGCTGCCAAACACAGCAACATTCAGGGCTGAACAAACCACTCTTGGTCCAGGGAAAGGTCTGTGAGATCTTGCCCAGCTCCACACCTCCTTATTTATTCTGTTTTCTCAGGGTTTTCACAGATTTTCACAAGGTTTTCCCAGGCAAATTTGTCTACTACATGTTAATGCACTTAACCATTTTAAGCCAATTACAAGGGGCAAATCTCCAGKATCATGTAGGGGGAAGCAGTGTTGCTGTCTGTGTAGTTTTTTATTCTATTTTTATACAGTGCTGTATTCTCATTTCTCTATTTTCATGCAGGGCTATATCTGGCATGTGTGTGAAGATGCTTTAGATGCAGGTCCCAAACTGTGTTTTGCTGCCTTCACATTCATCAGCCATGCCCAGCAGGACCTTGTGGAAACTGAAACAGGCCTGGATCCGCACAGTGCCCTGCTCTTTAGTTAAAGATACCTGGATGAAAATGCAGGGCCAGGGAGTGGCCTATGATCCTTGTGGTGAGAAATGCTGAACAAATAGGAAAGCCAAGTACAGGGTTGCACAGAGGCTAGTCACCTGCAGCAGCAAGAATGATGCCCAGCATCAGGATTGGCAGGAATTAACTCCTAGTCATTCCCAACTGCCTTTGGGAGACTCTTCTGACCTTATTACCCAGTGGTTTGCATCATTTCCCAGATAAGCTGATGCTTAATTATTTATCCCCATCCTTTGATGAGGATCTAGCTGTGTCGTRCATGCAGCTCAAGCAGATTTGAAAGAGTGGCCACAGCATCTTGCATCTGTGCCTGCATTTTGCTCTGTTTATGTGGCTGTTGCCTCAGGGAGCCCAGGAATACCTGAACACCTAGACAGGCCCCATGTGCACCCACTAGTTGCACATTTAGTGCACATTTAGTGCACATTAGTGTTGACTAATCTTGTCCCTCTGGCCTGGGGTGAAGGCAAGGCCCACTGGAAGATGTTTCCCTTAGGGAGGACCATGGCTGCGGCCTTGATTGTTTCTGTGTTTCCTTTTTGTAGGAGCTGAGGGATCTGGCATCCAAGCATCCCAACCTGGTCCTTGTGAAGCTGGGTAAGTGCACTCTGCCTCTGAATGGATGTGGCACTGCTGCCCACAGGGTCTCCCTCCGTTTCTCCCTGCCCACCTACAGCCTCTATACTGGGCTCCAGTTCTTAAGAGCTGCCCGACACTTGGGCTTTAAGCACCATTGCCCCAAGTGCAGTTCCTCTGGACTTACCTCAACCCCTGTGTCCCCTTGTCCCTAGTACACTGCTCCTGGGAGCCCCCATGTCCTGTGGGCACAGGACTGGATGGCCCAATCCTGGGCTTCTCCAAYTCTTGCTAGCAGAACAGGACCCAGCACAGCCCACATGGAGATTCTTCCACGGTTCACTTTGCCTTGTGGCTCTTCAGAATAAGGAGGGATTACCCTCTGAGGGGAGGCCGGGAGTGCTGGTGGCCATAGTGACCCAGCAGGGAGGGCACTATAGCACTGCCACTGTAGGGGTGTCTCCAGGGTCACCCCGGGGGACACGCTTGAACTGATGGGAGCAGAACACCCTAAACTCTCTCTGTGGAGCAGAGGAGCCATAGCGCCCATGGGTCTGAGCTCTGAGGTGGTTGCACAGCTCCATCTGCTGTCCACGGATGGCAGACAGAGATGATGTTCTGTGTCTTCTCCGCCTCTGCCCCTTGGGTGCGCTCTGGATGCAGAGATTCCAAAAATCCTCAGCACTCAAAAATCAGACATTCCCCTGGCAAGGGTGCTGCTAACCAAGGTCAGGCCTTTTTCTCAAGCACTCCTGTTGAGTCCCAGCAAGACAGGCTTGTTGATGGCCAGCCCCAAGTGGTGCCAGTGGGAGAATGGGCTGTCCTGGGGTTCATTTTTCTGCATCAGAAGCCAAATTTGGAGCTCTCCTCTATAAGGAGGATCCAACCAGCACTGGAGAGGCCAGCAGGCATCCTTGGGGTCTGTGAATGGCTCTCCCAGGACAGCAAGTGCTGTTTTAGAATCAGCATTGCTTTCTGATTGCATCCTGTGCAGAGACACAGGGTGTAAGTGCCATTGTCCAGCCATACATCTTGACTTGGGCCAGGGCCATGGTGCTTCCTCTGCCCCAAAAAAAACCCTCCAGTGTGAGATTTCCATAGAAGCATCCGTCACGAGCATGGTCAGTCCCCACACAGCCCCTAGGCTGCTACAGGGAAATGGAGGCACCTCTGCCAGGGGGTTATTGGGTCAGACATGGCTCTCAAACCTTGTCTTCTGTCTCTGCAGATGTTGCAGATCCCACAGCCATTACCAATGCGGTGAAGATTGTGGAGGCGAAGCTGAGTGGCACAGGCCTGAATCTGCTGATAAACAATGCTGGGATTTATGCCCCTGTGACACTGGACACGGTGGACTCTGAAGAGATGATAAGGGCATACAAGACCAACGCAGTGGGGCCACTGCTGATGGCCCAGGTAACCCTGGGGTCAGAAGTCTCCATAGAGGGGGAATTTGGCCTAGCTGAGCATAAATTTGGCTGCAGCCTGAGATACAGAGACCTTATCCATCCTGCACCTCTCTGGAGGAGCCTGGTTGAGGCTTAGAGAGAGGCAGCACAGACCCTGCAGGACAATCTAACTTTGTTTCTCTGACGCTGTGGAGCTGGAGCATTAGGCACCACTTTTCTGTGCTGAAATCAAGGCCAAAGCATGGAGCTAAACTGCCCGTCTGTGCTTCGCCCTGGCAGCAGCTTCCTCGGCGTAGGAGCTTCCCTTTCATACTGCAGCTGTTTGGCAGGGAGTTTCCTATATCTTCGACCACACACTTTTTGTTATTGATGGCCAAAAGAGATCCTAGCTTACTCTGCAAAGAGTCCCGGGAGGGAGGGGGCAAGGCCACTGCAGCAAAACACCCCAGTTCCCACTGCTCTTCATCCTCCCTGCTGCAGAGAGGCTAAGCTGCAGTTGCCAGAAATGGATCTTGCCCAAGGCACAGGCAACCCATGATGCTGCTTCTCTGCAGGCCTTCCTTCCCCTGCTTAAGAAGGCTGCCCGGGAGAGCACGGACAAGGGACTGAGCTGCAGCAAGGCAGCCATCGTCAACATCTCCACCGTKATGGGCTCCATTGAGAGAACTGCTGAGTCCTTCTTCAAGCCCGTCATCTCCTATCGCTGCAGCAAGGTATGGAGACCGGGGTCCTGCAAGCTCAGGAGGAGCAAGGGCCTTGGCAGGCCTGGTCTCAGGGTGGCACCTGATCTTGCCAGATGGAGGGACTTAACTGTACCAATCGCAGCCTGAGCTCTCTGGGCATCTCCATGTTCATGCTTGACCCCTGCTCACTGAAGGAAGACACAGGCTCTGTGTTGTCTCCTGGAGACTTGTTTATTCCCCCTTTGCCTTCAACAACATTGGAGGGGAGACATGGAGGCATTGGAGGGTAGTCTGTTGTGTGGCACTTTCTACTGCTAAGTGCTGCCTGCTGCTTATGCTCCCTTCCTCTTCCAGGCTGCCCTCAACATGCTCACCAAGTGCCAGGCCCTGACCTATGGGGAGACCGGAATCCTCTGCGTGGCGCTTCACCCTGGCTGGGTGAAAACCGACATGGGCACTCAGGAGGTGGGTTCTTGGCAGGGATGAGGGTCAAGTCAGTGTGTGTGGTTACTGCCCTGCTCAGCTGGCCTCCTGGCCCAAGCAGCCTCCATCCAAGCTACCAGTGAGCGTGTGGTACCTGTTACCTGCTCACAAACCTGCCCTGTCCCACCTCCTTTGGCTCTCACTCAGAGTCTGGGCAGAAGGAGCCTTGCTGTGGATGTGCACCCGCTGGGTGCATGCAGGTGGATGGCCAGCAGTGGCTGTGTCRTGTCAGTGCTGCTCCTCACCCATGCCCGTTGCTGGATCCTTGCAGGCTGACCTGACAGTGGACACGAGCGTGCGGGGGATGCTCTCCATACTGCCGATCCTGTCTGAGAAGCACAGCGGAAGCCTGCTCAACTGGGAAGGCAAAGTTATCCCATGGTGAGAGGCAACACAGCACAACACTGCCCGTCCCCATAGGAGGCCACGTCATGACAGGAGACCCCAGGTGCACTGAATCACCTGYTCACCCTTCTGACCTTCAAGAGAGCTGCCTGGGATGGCCCCAGTCCGTGTGGCACAGTCTGTGATCCCTATGCCAGAGTTACTAATAAACATAAAGCAAGCACTAGTACCTGTGCCTTTGCCCAGCTGCAGTGTCCTTGCAAGGCTCTCTGCCCTGGCCTGGAGCCGGCCTGTGCAAAAAATAASCTGGCATTATAGCAGTCTGCCTGCCTGACCCGGGGCAGCTCTGAGCACAAGGAGGGCCCCACGGGCTGTTTAACTAGCACAAAGTCCTGTTATCTTCCATGGCCCTGAGTGCACATGGCCCAGCCTGGTTTCTCTGTGTCTCCACCCAAAGCGAATGGTGCTTCTGCTAGTGGGGAAGCTGTTAAGGTAGGTACCTTARCACCTGACCACCTGCAGTAGGTAGGGCTTCTGCATGAGTTGAGCAGCCCTGGACTACATGAATGTGCCCAGGAGGTGGTAGCATCTCCAAAGAGAAGGATTTGGGGGCAGTACGTGATTTTCCCAGCTTTAGAAAACTGGAGGTCTCTGCCTCCATCCTCTGGGAAGAGCTTTTGCTTGTCGGGAGGGATTCTGGGAGAAGGAGCTGGGGGCTCCTTCAAAAGCAGGCCAAGTCTCAGTTACACATGAATTACAGGAGAAGAAAGGCCAGCATTCTCCACTGCTGCTTCTTCCAGAGGCTGCCACATCTCCTGGCTAATCTGGAGAGCTGGCTCAAGCGTTGCCTTCTCTCTGCTCCTGGGCTCCTCAGGGGTCATACCTCTCTCTGGAGGGATGGGACTTGCTGGGAAGCACTAGCTGATATCACAGGTTTGAGGCCTTGTACTKCTCTGCACACGAGTCTCCCATTTCCCAACGATGAGTGTAAATGCTGCAGGCTTCCTGCATCCAGACTTTGCCCTGACAAGCACACAAAGCATGAGGCAGAGGTGCTGTGAAGCACCCAGAGATTGCTGGGTGCTTCGCAGCCCCCCTGGCTCTTCACACAGTTGCTTGCACATCCCACAGGTAGAGATCAGAAATATGGTTGTACTCAGCCCTTGCCCAGCACTGGCTTAGAGATATGACCAAGCCTCCAACAAGTGTCCTGCTTGTCCTCCTTTCCTAACTGCTGCAGATAAACTAGCTGGCACACAGCTCTGTGAACATCTTTCCCATGTTTATCTTGCCCTGTGAGTTTTCTCCCTCCTTCCCCATCCCATGTGCCACGGCAGGGATCCCACCACTACTTGAAGACAGCTTATCACCTCAGACTCCCTCTTTGCTCCTCAGCATCATTGCCAGCCCCAGGAGACAGATGCAGCTGCTCTCCTGGAAATAATTCAGAGAAACGGGGTTGCTGGAAGGTGGCACAGGCTCCATGAGCTCCACTGCCAGGACTGCAGTGCTGGTAATGATCAGTGCTGGGGCACCGTATGGGTGCCCTTGTGCCCTGGTAGTGTTTGGCTGAGCCTGAACCAGATGCTGACAAATGTGTGTGACTCACTGGAGATGAGAACAAGCCTCATGGGGGTGTTGAAGCACCACGAGCAGTGGCCCAGAAAAAGCTGAGTCCAGCAGAGTTTTCCATTCCGGCACTTGGACATCCCCTGTACAGCAGCTTATTTGCCATGTGGTGGCAGCAGGTCCAGCAATGTTGGTCCCAGTTTCCAGGCAAGCAGGAGATGGGGGCAGCACTACCCAGACTGCCCCCATCATGCGTTCTAGTTTCTCCCAGCTGAGAGTCACCACTGGGTGTTTTGTCACCCCAAACTAAACCAGCTGCTCCCAGGGAATATGGTCTCACCCAGAGCTGAGTTTCCAGAGGCTATGCCAGACAGGGTATCTCAGAGGTCAGGGATGCCCGAACACCTTGCTCTGGGATGCATGTTCCCCAAGAAGGCTCGGAAAGAGGCCAGATGGGCCGATCTTCCCGCTCGAACACTTTCCAAGTGATGTTGGCTTTTCCTTTGCTCATATTCTGGGTGTTTGTGGTTCATGCAGCTGATTATCTCCCCGTTTCCTCTTCTGACTGATGTTTCCTGCCTTGCTCACTCCCTTTTCTCCCTTTTGTTGGCTTTTCCCTTTGTGTTGAGCTTATCTCCCAGCTCTGGGCAGTGTCAGATCTCCGTGCTTCCCCAGCAGTGATGGGCGAGGGACACTGAAACCGGTCACATACTCMCAGCCTCTCCGCTCAGCCGTGTTCCCTTTCCAGAAGAGCAACAGATTTCTTGCTCAGCTTGCCCGCAGTTCCCTCCCGCATCCATGTCTGCTCTTTCTAGCCCCTGTTGTGTTAGATAACTGGCAATGCTGTTGTTTTAGTGGTATGAGAGACAGCAAGGGCYGTGGCTGAGCATCCTTGTAGAGCCTGCTGCCGGGTGCAGCCCYGTGCACCACCCTTCCACAGGACTCCCATGAAGGACCAGCTCTATCAGGCCATCTAGACTCACAGGCAAGCTGGGAGACACCAAGAATGATTCAAGATCCAACTGCTTTAAGCAGCTAAAAGCAGAGTCTACCTGAAGCTGTGGGATGGGTGCAGGTTGGACCAGAGTTTTGCCCATCCTCTAACGTGCACACCTGCACAGAGGACCCAGCTCCAAAAAATCAAAGAATTTGCCCTCCCAGCTGATAGTTGCCCTCAACAGTGCAGAAAAAAAGAAAGAAAGAGAAGGTCCTTCGTATGCGCGCTGTAGGGGACCTGCCTCCCCAAGCCCCATGGGCATCCTGAAMTGAGCCAGCCCTTCTGTGACCCCCCACAAGGCAGAGCAGCTCTGCCTGCCCTGACAGGCCCTGTAGGCCACAGGAACATCCAGGAGAAGTCATATATCTGTGCTCTGGTGAGCCCAGTGCTGATCCAAGGCCCAGGGACTGACTTCAGGGAACATCTTGTCATTGAGAAAACCCCATTTTCCTGCTCTTCCACCAGCTTCAGCCCAAGAGCCACTGGCAAAGACTTGTTGTCCCAGGAGCTGGTGTCAGAAATGTCCATGGAGCTGTGACTAAGGTGAGAATGAAACAGAGAGTCCGAGTGGAACCATCCAGGGAAGGGATCCAGAGCTCTGAATGAAGGCAAGACTGTCTTAGAGAGGTGGCCTCCCGTGCGTTAAAGGGGACAACAGCACATGGCAGAGAACCTTATCAAAGCAAAGCCAGCTTCAGGAAGGGACAGGTGAAAGAGCAGTCTGGGAAGGGAAAAGGGCTGCTCCCGTGACATGGATCCGACTGCCATGAATCTGTGGGAGGTGGAGCAGCAGATGGGAGGAAGGTCAGAAACGGCCAACACGTGAGGAAGCGCTGGGAGATGCAGCCAGTGCAGCCAGGGCACTGGTCTCAGCAGCTCTGGATTCAGCAGACCTCAGTCAGCAGGAGAAGGACAAGGAGCAGAGGCCAATGGAGCTGCAGGAACCTCCTCCAGGACCTGGATCCCTCTCGCGCGAGGCTGCACCGGCTTCCAGCTGGGACGGCTCTTCGTTCCGCCAAGGTGTGGGCGCTCTCCATAGCGTGGGCCAGCAGGATGGGCATCGTGCGGATGTCTCTGTGCCCCCGTGGCTCAGAGTCCCAGGAGATCATCCCCAGAACCCCAGTCCTGGGGTCGCAAATGCCTTTGGGGTTTGGATAGCAGGTTTTCCATGGCTGGAAAGGGGGGACTGCCTGGGGCTCCGGTGCTGTCTGAGAGTGCTCGAAGTGGCGGGATGCTGGGAAAAACAGAGGAGGGTGCTGGTGCACAGGGCTGTGCGCCAGGCCCTGGCCCCAGCGCTCGCTGCCTGCGGCACAGGAGGAAGCACGTCTGGGTCCCCACGGTGAAAGGGCTGCCAAAGAGGCTGAGTGGGGCCAGTAGATAACRTGCGGAGGCTTCCTCCTGCGCTGCTGCAGCTGCGGGGCCGGGCTTGCTCGGCCTCTATGGAGCCCTGCAGGGCCCACGTGCATCCCCTCTCCCCCTCACGGTGTTGTTATTGTTAGCTGGGAGGAAGCAGCTCGCCAAATCCCGCCTCGAGGTTAACCCGCTGCTGCCCGTGTCGCACTGCGCTCTGCCTGGAGCTGGGGCGGCTCCCTGGCAGGACGGTGCAGAAGCTGCTGCTGGGTGAGCAGCAGAAGCTCATTTTGGACCTTACCTCCCTGACAGGTCTCTCCCAAGGGTAGATTTGCCAGTCCCTAACCCCAGGTGCCCTTGCCAAGAAGGAGGTCTGCGCTGTTGTCTTTCCATGGGGAGAGGAGGTCCTGAAGAATTCACTTGTGCCTGTTTCCTTCCACGCTCTTTTCCCCATTGCAGCCCGTTGAATCCTGTCTGGTGGCAGGCACCACAGGGTGGACAGCTTTACCTTGTGCACTCCCAACTTGGCACTGATTTAACTCCAATACTTCCGAAGCCGTCTGGAGAAAAGCTCTTTGGAAGAATAAAACCGCAGCACTTCACCTGCTTCACTCACAGAGCCAGGACGCCGGTCTCTGGAGGCAGCTTCACTACCTTCCGCTTCTCGGATAAACAAAGATCAGATACCATTTGAGGAACTTTCTCTGAGCTCCCTCATCCTCCTGAACAGCGCCAGATTTGTTCCCCTTTCTCGTCTGGTGGGGAGGAAGACTCGACCACCCCRTGAGCGGAGCTTTTCTCTCTGCATGGTGGCCGTATCCCCCCAGTGCTGGCCACGGCGGAGCTGCCTTTCTTAAGCATCGGTGTCCGTGTGGCAGAGGTCGGGCAGGAGCTGAGGTAGGTCACCCAGCCACTGGGACCGTGAGGATTGTCATGGAGCTGCTCCCACTGCACCCCAAGGATGTGCTTGGATCGTCCAGCCCCACTTGGCCCTGTCCTTTTTCTCTGCAGCCCGGTTAGTACTGGGAGATGGTCCCCAGATGAAGTTGTGTTGAGAGGACTTCAAACTGAAGCAAAAGGTCTACAGAGCCCAGCTTTGGTCACCAGGCCAGGAGCATCTCAGAGGGATGCTGGCACCCCAGCRTACATGGTATTTTAGGACTTCATGGGGCCGAGGTACTGCAGGGTGCAGGATGGATGCACATGCCCAGGGCAGTGCTGGAAAGGCACAAGGAGATGGGGACCAGGCAGCAGGAGCGATGGGGACTGCACTGCCTTGATGGGCTGGCAGCTCCAAGCAGAGGTACCTCTA